GCGCATGCCTCGAGCGGGGCCAGTTTCCGAAATTGTGGAAGACGGGGAAACTGGTCCTCATCCGAAAGGAGGGGCGCCCGGCGGACTCACCGTCCGCCTACCGGCCCATAGTGTTGCTTGACGAGGTGTGCAAGCTCTTTGAAAGAGTGATTGCAAGGCGCCTCGTCAAGCATCTCGTGATGGTGGGATCTGGCGGATAACCAGTACGGTTTCCGTCAGGGGCGCTCCACCGTGGATGCGATCATGCGCGTGAAGGCTCTGGCGGAGGAAGCAGTTTCCCGGGGCGAAGTGGGGTTGGCGGTGTCCTTGGACATCGCCAACGCGTTCAGCACTCTGCCCTGGAGCTGCATCAGGGAGGCGCTCGTCGTCTACCCCAGTAGGACCGGTCTCGGTAGGCGTGAAACGTCGTGCGGTGTTCCACAGGGGTCAGTGTTAGGGCCACTCTTGTGGAACATCGGTTTCGACTGGGTGCTTCGTGGTGCCTTCTTGGATGGTGTCGCCGTCGTGTGCTACGCGGACGATACGCTCGTGACGGCGCGCGGCAAGACACACAACGAGGCAACCCTGAGGGCCACGGCCGGGGTTGCCCAAGTCGTAGAGTGAATCCGGCGGCTGGGTCTCGAGGTGGCTCTGCACAAGTCCGAGGCCCTGTTCTTCCACGGGCTTCGGGGGAAGCCGCCTGAGGGATCTAGCCTCACGGTAGGAGGCACTCGCATCGGCATCGAGCCCTCGATCAGGTAGCTAGGGCTCGTACTCGATGGCCGATGGGACTTCGGATATCATTTCCGAGGTCTGGTCCCCAAGTTGGTTGGGGCAGCGCGTGCATTGGCGCGGCTGCTGCCCAACATGAAGGGACCCGATGACTTCTGCAGGAGACTCTACTCGGGGGTTGTGCGGTCCATGGCCCTTTACGGGTGCCCAGTATGGGCGGGGGCCCTGAAGGCCAGCAACGTCGCGATACTGCGACGACCGCAGCGAGTGCTGGCCATCAGGATCATAAGGGGGTACCGCACGATCTCCTTTGAGGCGGCGAGTCTCCTGGCCGGAACTCCACCGTGGGACCTGAAGGCGAGAGCCCTTGCGGCTCTGTATCAGTGGCGCAAGGAGGCGCGGGAGTTGGGTCGGTGTCCCGAGATTCGAGAAATCGATGACCGGAAATCCCAACTCCGCCAGGTCATCATAGGGGAGTGGAGGGAACGACTCGGGCAACCGAGCGCCGGGCACGCCGTCATCGCGGTGGTTAGACCTGTTAGACCCGGTAGACCCGTTATGGAGGATTGGCTCGAGAGGCGTCACGGGGCCCTCTCATACCGACTGACGCAGGTGATCACTGGGAAAGGATGTTTCGGGATCACCTGTGTCTGATCTGCAAGGAGCCAACGCCTGAGTGCCACCACTGCGATGGCCAGACCGTGGACACGGCTCTCCACACGCTGGCAGTGCCCGGCGTGGGTTGAGCAGCGGCCATCGGAGTGGGAGTTCTCTCGCTCGATAGCCTGATTGCGGCTATCGTGCGGAGCGAGAGTGCGTGGAACTCTGCCATCTCCTTCTGCGAGCGACTCCAAAAATAATAATAATTGTAACTACATTATATTCATTTCATTTTACTTAGGAGACCTCAAAATAATATTTCGATCGTTGTTTGTTATTCATAGGTATATGTTGAGTTAGATTTGAAGTGGGTAGGTACCTACCTTCTTGCGTGGTAAACACATAGATCGTACCTACATATTCATGAGTAGAAAAAGTAAGTTTATTATTAAGTTGTAGAAGAATATGCAGTTATTTGTTTTACTTTTTAGTGCATAATAATTTCTTTTGGAATAGTGTTTTTTAAAGTCGGTTTTTTTTTTGATAAAAAATTTGTTTATTTTTTGTGAATCTGAAGTACACTTACATTTTTTTTTTTTAATATGGCTAGACCTAATAAGCGTGCTGCTCATATGAGACAGCGCCGTTTGAATGAAACAAGCGAAGTCAGGGAGAAACGCCTATCTCAACAGAGGCAATCTACCTCGAGAAGAATTTCAAAAGAGACTTGCGAAGAGCACAAAAATAGACTTTCGAAAATGCGGCTTTACATGAAAAAGATTTTGAACAGGGAAAATATCGAAAAACGTATTCACCGTCTCGGCTTGATCAACGATCCTCTATCGACTGAGACGGAGAAGCAATCTGCAAACCGTCTCAGCTTCATCCACGATCGCTTATCACAAGAGACGGAGGAGCAATGTGCCCACTGTCTCGGCTTAATCCACGATCGTCTATCTAATGAGACGGAGGAGTAACGTGCCCACCGTCTCGGATTAATCATCGATCGTCTATCTAATGAGAAGGAGGAGCAACGTGCAAACCTACTCGGATTAATCCACGATCGTCTATCTAATAAAACGGAGGAGCAACGTGCCCACCGATTCGGATTGATTCACGATCGCTTATCAAACGAAACACCTGAAACTCGTTCACGTCGACTTATACAGACAGTTAGAATTGCCACAGATTGCACCCTTACTGTAAGCCGTTAAGGAGTTTCATTGATCATTATATTCGACTACGACAATTACTTCCGTTACTGTCCCTGACTGTGGCGGATTAAGAATACAGAATGTCAATACCCCTTTTCATCCCATGGTTGTCGTAAGAGTTGACTAAGGGAGCAAACTACACAGGACAACAGCACTGAAAAGAGAAAATTTGAAACAAACCCTATAGCAACGCGTCTGGCCAGCGTGGTATAGTAGGCCAAACCCTCTTTTCTAAGGAGAGGCCTATGTCCAGCAGTGGACTAGTGATGGCTATTGATGACAACAATTACTTGACCATAACGTCGTTACTGTAGGTGACTCAAATATCCGGATAGCCTTTAAAATATTTAGCCGAGTATCGTTAATTTGCTCCTAAGAATTTAAGAGTTCCGTTACTTTGTCGTGGATCCCATGATCAGAATCTAACCAAACTCTCATCAAAGTATCCTTAAAGTACATCCATTCTAATTAAAAAGAATTATCGAAATCGGTTTGCGTGATATTGAGTTATACGTCTGTTTGTCGCGAACATACTGAATGCAAATTTAAGACTTATATGGTTTTCTCATGGATGCCCTTATTAGAACTGAACCAAATTAAAATGGCCACCACACGGCAAGCACCAGCTTTCAAATAAAAAAAGAATCATCAAAATCGGTTCACCAAGTCAAAAGTTCTGAGGTAACAAACATAAAAAAAAATACAGGCGAATTGAGATCCTCCTTTTTTTGAAGTCGGTTAAAAATGAAATTATTCAACTAGAAGTACCTAATAGAATTAATTGTGTTTTAAATAAGAAACAAATAGATATTTTGACTTATCCTGTTACTGACGATCCACTATGATCAAAATATATATTTTTTAAGTCGTATTGATATTTTCTATATAGATAAGCTATGTATGTACTAAAGTAATACTAACAACAAAAATAATTACGTGAAGCAATGCTAACATCACTTTTGCAAGACATATCAATCAACGTGTTTTTTCTTTTATAAAACTTGTTGTCTGCCAAGTTTAAGGTCAAGTTTAACATCAGTTGCATCAGTCTGTTGTGAATTTTAATGTACAATTGCGATATCGTTAACCTACACTGCAATTATAAATGCCAAACAAACATTAAGTATATTTTTAATATAAATTACTTAGTAGGTCTTGCCATTTACAAATCGAAGACCAAGCCAATGTTAATCAACCGTTTCGCGTCAGTGTAGCGAATCAACCTTCTACAAGAGTACCACAGAAACATCACAAATAAAACTAAAATATTTCTCTATTGTTCTGTATGGTGCAGAGAAATGAACCATCAAATAGCAGAGACATGGGCCATCAAACCGGTGATTGGCAGAGAATTGATGTGTTTAAAATTTGGTGTTAGCGCCGCATGTTAAGGATTCCATGGACAGCACATACCACAAATCTAGGAAAGCTTCGAAGGACCTTGATAAATACAATATCACACCAAAAACATTTTCATGTAAAATGTTGCCAAGAGGAGACCATATGGCTCGCACTGTCGAAAAGTTATCAGATATCAGGTAGATCCAAACTTCTAACTCTACTCGCCTTAACTCTACAAGGCCTAACTTCACAAACTACACCTTAGTTAAAATATGTGGCTTAGCGGTTTCGATACCGTCACATAGTCGTAAGGTAAAAATTTATTTACTGTTCATTACTTTTCTGTTACTTAAACAGATATTCTTGTAGCAACGAAACGGCCAAACTACATATTTTACTAAGGTGCAGAGTTTGTGAAGTTAGGGGCTTGTAGGGTTAGAAGTAATAGTAGTAGTAGAGTTAGAAGTTTGGCTCCACATGAGATCTGATAACTTTTAAACAGTGCGAGCCATATGATGTCGTTTTGGCAACATGTTACGTGAAAATGTTTTTGATCTGATATTGTATTTATCGAGGTCATTCGATGCTTTTTATACATTATTAATTTAGTTATCTAAATTTGTAACAATGGAATATTAAGTTGGGTTGTATTCAACGCTTCAAAAACTCAAAAAGTTCTGCACCGATTTAGCTTAAATTTTGACATGATATACAACTCGCTGCAAAGATTGATCTATTTTTTGCGCCAGTTTTGTTCCTCATTTCTCATCAATACAACCACAATGTGCCACAGCGAAGCTTGGAAGGGTACAGCTAGTTTCATATAAAATCTAGGAAATTCGTCATGCGTGTGGACTAATTGAGTTAGTGATGTATGTAGCTTGTACCCGCAGCCCGCAGACGTAATATTAATTGAGCATAAAATGTTTATGTAACGTACTATATCTTTAAACGAAATACTAAACCATGCACTGCCTGCCATGTACAACGTAGTGTAAAATGTCAAATGAATTAATTGAATAGAACTTAAATCGTGCAAAATACTATAGTAAACAGTGTAGATATGCTTAAGAAATAGGAGTCTAGCAACAGCGAGCGAGGTTTGAGACGGTAGGTAATGGCGGCGAGCTTCAGTCACGGTATGACACATGTCACACGTCCGATGCGCTGCGCCAGTGGAGCACTCGGGCTGAGCGACGGGACAGCGCCGCCACCCGCTCCACTGCATCGTGTCGCCGCTATCGCTTTCACGTCGTGGTTATCGCCCCAGTGATAATCTGCATAGTGCGAACCGTTATTGAAAGCCACGGTACTAGTTTGTGCGTGAAGGCTACAATAGCGGCACTTTAATCTGATATTTATTGACCGAGAGATCGAATGAAGCTGGCTGTTCGGAGAGGTAACCTAAATATTCAATCATAATATGTGTAGCTATTAACACAATTTTTCAACTTTAGCTAAGTGTCTACTTAATTATTCGTTCTAGTTGGTAAAATTTTTACAATCTACTTCACAAAAAAAAAAAATTAAAATAAATTCCCAATTTTCAGATACAGTCTGAAAATAAAAATGAGTTACATTGGCGTGGGCGTGGGCTGGTGGCAGGCGCAGAACGCGCGCGCCGCGCCTCCTATCAATGATCAATTTTGGTTCCGGCGAGATTATCTTTTGATCGGAGCAATTTCTCTTCGGTCTTATGTCTGATAACATCGGGAGAACAACGGTTTGCATCGTTCTGCATAATTATAAACCAGAAATTTATCCCAAGATTTTACCGTCCGAATTATGTAATTCATTAATATTTTCAATTTTTCATTTAGCTATTGATGCATTTACATGAACATCATATCAACATAGAAAAATAAAGACTAAAATAAATTAGGTATGAATAACGTTATTTCTAGATAGATGCACCCACTAAACTAAAACCACATTACCAATCTTGCTCAAGTCAATACCGCCAGAAGACAAAGACATAAGATATACTTATTGCATTAGATAATAGTAAAAATAGGAAATAGGCGATCAAAATAGGTAGAGAGCAAGGCAATCAGAAACAATTTTCTATTACTATTTCTCGTTGGACATATTCCGACAACAAACACGATCGTCTCGAGAGCCGTGGGAATGCCCCAGTCGAATAACGGACGGACGGACAAATGATGTCGGGCGATCTATTGCCTGTAATTGATGACGACTATTGTGTGCCTTTGAAAGAGCCACGAATGTTTGTCTTCGTTCTATTACCTTCTGTTTGTTTGTTACTATTGTTAATACGAGGCTAGTTGCCTTATTTCGCGCTGCTTTAGTACTTGTTGACACAAGTCTAATTATATGTTCTCGAAGTATACTTTGTATTCTCAGGTGTCGTTAACCCACCTGATATCGAAAACAGTTGGTCTAATGTTCGTTGCCCGTTGTGCATAATAGTAATCATGAAAGTTTGTTATGTATCAGTTATTTTCAATAGAAAATGGTTTTTAATATAAAATGGTTTTAAATAGAAAAGGTTTATGCTGTAATTTTGATGAAAACTATTTAACCAGATTTTTGTTAATAGGCAACTTACCGGTACATAGGTATTGTAATAGTTGTTAATCAAAGCATATACTTACTTACAGACTAGATACTTCAATCACTCTAAAGCAATGCCTCTAACGAAAACTGTACATTTTTTAACGTTTTAGGATTAACATAGATCAATTCAAAAACCGTGGGCAAGCCCTCCTTCAGTACAAATGGACCGGCTTGATTGGATTGATACCAAAGCCTCACAGAGAACCGCTGTTAAGTAATTCTTTCGGGTGAGTGAGGTTACCAGAGCCCAAACCCGCCTGATTCTGGAGGGAGAACTCAAAGGGTAAGAGTGACGACTCACTTGTGACTTGAGTTGCGGATGTCCTTGGACGGCGGTTGTCACTTACGATAATTATGCTAAAAGCATGAACTATATTGGTATCTAATGCTATTACTGTAACTCCATAATGGTAAATCCTTTAAAATATGATTAGTATTTCCCAATCTATAGGCAACAGAATGCAGATCGTTTATGAAAACTTTGCGAATTTGTGTGTTTGTAAGCACTAGTGTCCGAAACGGTCTGAAATCTATAGACTTGAGTAACTATACTCAAGTCAATAGAATTCAGAGAGTAATTTTGCTATTCGTCCGTATTTAACAATAACGCTCATTGTATATTTAAATAACATGAAAAAGTTTGAATCTCTGCAAGAATAACAAAAATCTTAAAAGGACGAAACCAACATACTAATCAGAAATCTGAAGAAATTACTCAATCCTCAATCCAAAAGCAATGCTCCACACATAACTCTCTTATATAGCTCTTTCATAGCTTTTCGCCGAGTGAGTAACGTAAGTGACGTTACTAACCCAACCTCTATCGCCCTAGTTCTCCAGGGAAGGTTCTCCAATCTGTGGGTGGCAACGCATTTGTGTCTCTAGAATTGCAGGTGTCCATAAAGACAACGCCCGCATTTATGTCGTTATTTTATATAAGTAGTTATTTGAAGTCGGTTAAAGACAATAGGTACGGTGGCAATAACATTAACTAAGTCTTAAATATTAACAAGCAGTGACGATACGTTGCAAACATTGCATATTAAGGTATAAGTAGGTCTTGCTGATTGTCGTCTAAGATTATGTACCTAATATTTTTATTTACAATTACTTATTATTTATTATTCCCGCTGACTCGAGCGGGAGGGACTCCAAGGGAGGCAACGCACTTGTGACTTTTGAGTTGCAGGTGTCCATGGGCGGCGGTAGTTGCTTACCATCAGGTGACCAGTCTGCACGTTTGCCCCCTTATACCATAAAAAAATTATTTAAATTTACTTGTATTTCTTATATCTGACGCCCATGATTTGGTTGTTCTAAAGTGAAGAGTAAAATACAAGCAAAGACCCTAAAACCAAGTACCAATTTCCGATAAATATATTGTATACGAATGATTTTTCAAAGAATACTTAATACATAAATCAGTGATAGGCCACATCGAGTCGGGATATTTTCTGTTGCTAGAATTATAAATGCCTTTATTGAAACCCACAGTACGCGTGGTAGGCGAATACTAATGGTGATAAATTTAGAAAATAGCACTGAGCGCCGGCGCCTGCGATAGCTATCAGCGACATGAATCAGTGGCGTGGTCGCATCGCCGACCACCCGGGCTCATAGCCACCGCCCAGCCCGCGGCCTGCGCCTACACTGCACTCGTCCTTATATTATTTGCACACACCTCCTAAATTGTTAAGCCGCACAATAATACTACCATTACTGAACAAGAATTCGACTGCTAGTGAATGTTCGAGCGCTTGACAGAGTGGCTTAGAGAGTGGTACAATAGCAAATATATTATGTATCTTCACAATATAAAGAACTATTTTTTGCCCACAGATTAGTATAGCGTTATGCCAATAACAATTTATTTTCCCTACTAGTTATAGACATATTGCTCATAAAATTCTGATAACACCTAACTTAAAATACTACTCTAAAAAGCAGTAACGGTCTTTACTCTATAGTCAAATGGCCTTAGTTTCAATGAAGATAAATATAACGGGCAGTATGATGCCTCCTTACTGTTTTAAATAATACTCAGCAAGAGTGCGGTATCTACGGCAGTTACCGCTCTCTTCGCTAAATATTAATTAAAATTAATTAAGGATAGAGTAATGAAGACACGATTTTCTATGATTTACCTAATAAAAATGTTAAGACAATGATATTCTGCTGTAAAAACATATACATAGTTAAAATTGCAACATAATCTTTGCGCGCAGTTTTCTGACTTACTGCTATGTCGATTACGTGGGCAGAGTTTGACTCGGATGTATGCAGATTTTGAATCAATTCAAGTATCCCTCGGAACCAGCACCTTATTATAGATGAATTTCATGATGATCGGTCTGAGAAATAGTGCATATTTGCGTATTTGCTTTATAAACCAAACAAATAGTAACGGTTGTAGGTGGGAGAGTCACCGAAGTGATTCCAGGGCCTCACAGAAAATCAGTGTTACGCTATTCTTTTGTTGCTTTTCACCGAGTGAGAGAGGTTGCTGGAGCCAAAACCCTCCTCCCCCTGATTCTGAGGGGAGGACTCAAAAGGTAGGAACATACTTGTGACTGTAAAGTTGTAGGTAACGATGGGCGGAGGTAGTTACTTACCATCACATGACCCGGCAGTTCGTTGCTCTCCTGTACCATATATAAACACACAAAACAAATATTATCCTGGATAATGAAAATAAAAGACATTATCGCATTGTGAGAATGAACTGTCAATTTATTTATTAAATATTTCATCTTTATTATACACAATAATAGGCAAAATAATTAATTCATACAAAAATTTATGCATACAAATATTGTAATAAATCGCTTGTAACAACAAAAATAAATGTTAATGTGTTAATGCCTAGAATTTAGAACATTTATTTAATATTAATTATTAATGACTTTTAATTACTAGAATACAATGTAAAATATAAACAATATTAATAAAATACGAAAAATCACCGAATTGTAATTTTAGAAACAATTACAATTTATAATACCAAGTAATTATAATTAAATTTGGAATGGTAAAGTTATTTCAATTAATGTTTTAAGTTTGTTTTGCGATACGATCTGGTTATCCCAAAAAGTTATGAGCGCCAGGGCCCGAGGGCACGCGGCCATCGGTCATTAATTTCCCTCTGTAAATATTGCCTCCACATTATGCGATTGTTTTACGATTTAATGCTCTCTTCGACCTCTTTTAATTTAGGGTCCCACAGTACAAAAAAATACAAATTATTTTTGGTCTGTTTCGCCTGTCTTAACTATGTATTAAGACAGGCGAAACATTACAAGTTATCTATATATATACTTACCTCTGTTGTATGTACCTAATTACAGTTGTAAAAAACAATTTTAACTGAGTAGCGGTATTTTCTTAGGATACAAATAAAATAAGAGAGAATTAACACATTTTGTATGCAACGCTTATTAAACTAATTTTTAATCTCATAATCTTTTTACCACTTTTTGGACTTAGATTAATAATCAAATGAAGATGTCCTGAACTTTTACATATATATTTGTTATCTGTTTAACTATGTTCTTCATATTCGGTACTAAAATACACTGATGTATGTACGCAAATATATTACCTAGATATATGTGTGACTTTCCAGTTTTATTGTTATTCTTCCACATATTAATTATCGTTAATATCGTAATTAATTATCATATAAATTATTGATAAATACACGGGCTACATGGTGTTAGTCTTCTTTTAGACTGGCAACATTGCTATGGTGCTACGTAGTGTTACCCAAACCAAAGTTACTAAATTATTTAGTAAAAAACTAAGTTACTAACAAAGTTACTAAGCTATTAAGCCAAAGTTACTAAAGTTTGTCAAACTTTTGTAATGGTAAGATTAAGATTTTATGAATTCCTTTTGATTAAAATGTTCTCATTATTCAAACTGAATTTAGTTTTCACAGACAAAAACGGCATGAGGGGGTAGACCCCCGGTCGAAACGAAGTTCCTTTCGCTTTTTGGTAGACGTTTGCTATACACGGCTGTAGCTATAGTGTTTCAAAAAAAGTATTGTTACACATTTTTCGGTCTCGCTCCAATCTGCTTAGTGTGTTACGCGCGATAAGGAACTTAGTTCCAATATTGACGTTTAAGTTTAAAATTTAAACAAAACAACAAATATCAAAATTATTATAGGGGTACAATAAATCTCTGAATGACCTGTAACAGTAGGTACATTCATATAAATAATCCAAGTGAATACTGGTACTTCGCCAATCTCGTGAACAATTTATCTGCGCATCGCAAACTGTAATTATGGAACTCGCGTTCCGACGCGCTGTTACAATTAAACTAGCGGTGCGTTCGTGAAATAATAAATAAACCTGATTATATCAATAACATTTATCGTAATTTATCAACAAAATTCATTGTTGACTTCAAAAATTATTTTTTCTTATACATATAGTTTGAAACGTCCATATTATACGTATAATAAACTTTACTTTGTACTAGATACGTACTGTTTCTGTTAATTTCATTACACCTTCAAGGCAGAATATTGACCCAGTAATGATTATTAATATATAATTAATTGATTCCATAAATTAAAATATTTTTTTAAATTATGGAAAACATACTTAAATATTTTTAATTTTTTCTTATACAGAAAATGCATATTTTTTATTTAAACTGAATAATATCAAAACAACTTAAAAAAAGGTACGTTTTATTTTTCGTTTTATGTTCACCAATTTATCAACAGATTTTAATGATTATATTTATTCGATAGGATATTTTTCTAGATTCCTTATAATGACGCCTCTTGTGCATCATCATCAGCCTATCGCAGTCCACTGCTGGACATAGGCCTCTCCCAGTGCACGCCACTTAGATCGATTTTGAGCTTCTTGCATCCAGCTCTTGTGCATGTTCACATCATCACATCAACAGCCTTCAATAGTCCACTGCTGGACATAGGCCTCTCCTTAGAAAGGAGGTTTTGGCCTACTATACCACACTGGCCAGATGGGTTGGTACAGGGTTTGTGTCAAGTTTTCCTTCTCTCTTTCTCTTCTCTTGTGCATGTTACAGATCATTAAAAATGTTTGATTTGTTTTGTAAAGATAGTTCGTACTATTATTATTTATGAACACTACATAATAAACCAAATCTTACTTTTTTAATTGTATATACAATCATTAAAAGTATACTTCAGACTTTTCTAATAATAAGGCACTTTTAGGAGTGCTTTCAAGACATAAACCTCACAGCACAAGTTTTAGATCATAGTACCTAGCTAATTAAGGGTAATTAATATCTGGCGTGCCTATTATGTCGATGGAACACGATATGGCAGATTTAAAAAAAACCTAGCTTGCCAATGGATATGGCACGGAAGTTTCATTGCCTCCTTGCCATATCCGTTTCCTTGCCCTGATTTAATATATATATAGTATATAGTGATAAAATATATAGTGGAAATTCCACTTATAAATGGACGGAAAGAGAAGAATATATGAACAGGCCAGGGCCAGGAGAATAGGCAGGGCTAGTATATATACTAGGTACCATGGATACTGAATGCCTCAAGTCCACGATAAATACTATGTATATCTCTTAAAACTAGTGACCGACCGAAGGTTCGGTTTCGGTTTCCGCCAGTTTCGGCCAAGCAATCTAGTTTCGGTTCCGAACTTGGCACAACACAAGACAAGGCACCAGTACATTGTCGCCCTTTTAGTCCCTCCTGCCCGAATCAGCAGAAAGGGGAGGGTTTGGGCTTTGATAATCCCCTCACTCGGTGAAAAACCACGAAAGAACTGTTTAACACCGGTTCTCTGTGAGGCCGTGGCATCACTCCGATTGAGCCTGACCCATATATGCCGAGGCATGACTCTCCCACGACTAACTCATCTTGTTAGTTGTGTTTTACGTATAAAGAATTATTTATTTGTTTTGTCTTTACTTGGACCTCACATCACATCAACAGCCTTTAATAGTCCACTGCTGGACATAGGCCTCTCCTTAGAAAGAAGGTTTTGGCCTACTATACCACGCTGGCCAGACGGGTTGTTATAGGGATTGTATCAAGTTTTCCTTCTTTTTGCAGTGCTGGTGTCTTGCGTTGTTTTGCGCCCTTAGTCGCCTCTTACGACACCCACGGGATGAATTGCGGTAGTGACATTCCGTATTCTTAATCCGTCACTACACGGACTTACTTGGACCTAATATTGTTTTATCTCAAAGGCAATGATTAGGCATAGAGCTTCGTTTTGTTGAGTTTTATTAATATATTAGGAACACGTAAAAGAGATTATGTTCGATTCAGATATTACTTAGAGCCGTATTGCAGAACGTCTCTCAAAACTCAAGAAACGCTTAAGCGTAGTTTCATAAACGAAAACTAACCTCAAGCGTTGAGTATCATTTAATATTACATTGTAATACTGTACATACATTTTATTCAAAACAAAAAATCGTAGGGTCGTACCCTCAGATTTTTTCGTTTTAAATTACATTCTGTACCCCTATTTCATAAAACTTACTACGTGTGATCTTAAGTTGCTTAACTATGAGAAAACGCGTATAGTTCGTTCAAATTACCTAGTCAGTCACCTGGCCGCGTTTTTTGGACAGATGAATTTTGAATTTCTAGTACTTGGTACCTACCTACGTTTTTATTTTTATTTTTTATCTACCTACCTAAATACATTTTCAACTCCTCACAATTAATGCCGTGTGTGGGTACCTTATTACAGTGGTTTTAGGGGGTATGTAGGTTCAGCAACGTTGTCTTACTGATTCTGATTCTGATACCGCAGCGGGTGCTGGCTATTAGAGTAATAACCGAACGATCTCCTTTGAGGTGGCGAGTATCCGGGCGGAACTCCACCGTGGGAACTGGAAGCGAGAGCCCTTGCGGCTCTTTATCAGTGGCGCAAGGAGGCGCCGGAGTTGGGTCGGAGTCCTGATTCTCGAGAAATCGAGGATCAGACATCCCAGCTCCGCTAGGTCTTCGTTGAGGAGTGGAAGGAACGACTTGAGCAACCAAGCGTCGTCACGCCGTTATCGCGGCGGTAAGACCTGTTATGGAGGATACACTACACGATACGATACGCTACACGGGACTCTCACATACCGCCTGACGCAGGTGATCACTGGCAAAGGATGCTTCGGGATCACCTGTGTCTGATCCGCAAGGAACCAAAGCCTGAGTGTCACCATTGCGATGGCCGCAACGTGGACAGAGCCCTCCACCCGCTAGCAGAATACCCGGCGTGGGTAGAGCAGAGGTGTGACCTTGTGGCGGCCATCGGAGTGGAAATTCTCTCGCTTGGTACCATGATTGCGGCCATGCTACTGAGCGAGTGAGCGTATAACTCCGCCGTCTCCTTATGCGAGGAAGTTATGCTTGCGAAGGAATCGGCGGAGCGGGAGCGGGAGAGTTTTAGAACTCTTCCGGTCCGTCAGTGCCGGGAACGGGCCAGGCACCGCAGGAGACCGGGTTGGGGTCGGGGTTTCAGGGATTTCCTTCCTAGGGTAAACTTGGTTCCCGATTACTGGTACCCAAGACAGCGTGCGGTTTTTATATATTATAGTTGTATTATTATATTCCATAGACATATTCTTAACTTAATGTAAATTAAGTACATATTTCTAATTCGTTCTTAAAAAACTACAAATAAAATCTAAGGAGTTTGAATATTCTATTATTCAAGATATCAAAGTATAAAATTAAAGTACAGCAGAAAATTGCCAATGTTGTCTTATTTATTGTAATGTTTCGTACATTATATTTTATTTAACGATAAGAATTTTTATTTTACAAATATTAGATTATTTCCTCCTCCCGACTCGCTTATTCAGATCCTAATATTTAATCAACAAGTAAAAACAGATATCACAAGCTGTAATTTAAAGCTATAACTAACTTACAACTCTTCGTGCTGTCGCTGCACACCGGAAGATTCTAGGAAATCGTTAAACTGTTGATGGCTGCGAACGTGTTCCGCGCATTTTGCCACCAGCCTTAAGAACTCACGGACGTCGAAAGAGTAATTTGTGAATTTAGCATGTGAACCACCTCCGGGACCATGACCCTGCAATTTTTTATCAGATATAGTTTTTTTAATGGAAAAGGGGTCAAACGAGCATACAGGTCATCTAATGGGACGCTTTTTGAATGAGTTCCGGTAACGTCACTCACTCAGTAAACACAAAATTGCTGAACGGTTTTCTGTCAGGCCATAGTGTCAACCCGGTCGTGCCCGCCCATATGTACTCCCACGCTTAGTAATGTATATATAAAAGGCAAGAGTATCAGTAGAAATAGTAGTATTAGTCTTAACAAAGAAAATAAATAAACATACCTGGTCCTGTTGTACAACTTTGGATTGATCTTCCCAAGTTACATATTTAAGGCCTCGAAGTCTTGTTAAATCTGAGTAACAATTAGGATCCTCGCAGTTATATCTATAATACAGATAATTTATATTAATATTTTAGTATTATTATATATACATATATAATGAACGGCAAAATGCCCACGCTCATTATGCCCAATAATTAGTCATATCTGATAAGTAGTAGTTAAAATTAGTTCTTAGATGGGTAACAATGACTATAAAACTACTGAAACACTGATATTTTTCAATGTTCCTACGACAAATGACCCTTTAATTACACCATATACCTACGTGTAATTTAATAAGAAATGAAACTATTTCATTAGTTGTGTTAAGATTAAAAAATAACTAACACTTCAAATACTGATGCCCAATCAGGTAGAAAAAGAAGATGCGTTAGACCTGCTCCATGCATGCCGATAAATATGTCCGTATTATGAGTAATTTCCAGTTGCTTCGTGAATGGCACAGATTTGTCATAGACAACTCTACGAACTTCGTAGTCCGTAACTTTTTGTAATGCTTCTAATATAGCCTTCTCGTTCAAAATAGACCTGTATGTCGTTCCTCTTGAAAGTAAAGTTACTCGTACTTTGTCGTTTGTTCTCCGATGCAATTTTATGTTCAAGGAGTGGAGAATGTGTTTTGAAAAGGCATGGAAAAGACCACTTCTCTCGCACCCGTATATCTGCAATAAACACACACTGGACATTGGTTTCATGGCATTGTATACACGTGTCCAGTCTCAATGTTGGTACCTGCATACACAATGACAACATCAGCTAGTGTTGTTAGATACACCGATCCCACAATCGTGTTGAGAGGGTTGGAGGGGGGTGATTAGGCTCATTAGAATCGTCACGTGTTCAGTGACTCATAATTAGTATAAATACCAGGTTTCATTGTTATTAGACAATTGGTCTTTGAGTTATCGTCAACCAAGCAACATAATCGGGAGTGAAAAGGGAAACATGGAAAAAATCGAATATCGTGCCATTATAAAGTTCCTTACCAAGCAAGGAAAATCAGTTGCGACCATAATGAATGAGATGTCATTGGTTTACGGCGACTCTTGTCCAGGAAAAACCATGGTGTACAAATGGCACAGTTTATTTAAACAAGGAAGGGAATCCCTTGAAGACGACCCAAGGCCGGGCAGGAGCATCGGGGTGATCACGCCAGAACTTATCCAAAAAGTCGAAAAAATTGTACTCGACGATGCTCAACTAAAGAAGAAACAACTCGCAGAAATGGTTGGAGTATCTGATACAACCATTTTTAGAATTCTGCACGATCATTTTGGCATGATAAAGGTCAGTGCAAGATGGGTGCCGAGAATGCTCACGCCGACGCAAAAACAACAGCATGTAGAGTGTTCACGTGCATTTTTAGGCCTTTGTAATGAAGACAAGGATGCTGTATTGAGTAGAATTGTTACTGGAGACGAAACTTGGGTTCATCATTATGAACCTGAGTCGAAACAAGACTCCATGCAGTGGCATAAAAAGGGCACAGCACCTCCCAAGAAGTTTAAGGTGTCACAGTCAGCTGGGAAACTCATGGCAACAGTCTTTTGGGACTCAGAAGGAATATTATTGATCGATTATAAAGATAAAGGTGCTTCTATAACCGGAGAATACTACGCTTCAATATAAGAGCGACTCAAAGAAGCCATTAAAGAGAAAAGACGGGGAAAATTGACAAAAGGTATGTTGCTTTTGCACGACAACGCACCCGTGCACAAGAGGCGCGTTGCGTTGGCTGCCCTGCATAAGGTGGGCTTCGATATTTTGAATCACCCACCCTACAGCCCAGACTTGGCTCCCAGCGATTATTACCTGTTTCCAAAAATGAAAAAAGAGCTTCGGGGTAAAAAAATTACCAACGATGATGAAGTCAAGGAGGCAGTTTCGGCGTATTTTGAAGACATTTTTTTATGAGGGTATAAACAAATTAATTGAAAGATCTGAAAAATGTATCCGTCTTGCAGGTGAATATATTGAAAAGGAAATAATTTGGTGTTTTTATTTCCACCCCTTATCCCCCATTCCGCGAACATAAAAACGCTCCCTCGTATCATCTAGTTCTGTGTCAAAATTCTTTTTTTCATTTAAACCAGTCAGATAAAATAGGCATGTAACAAATGGTTCAATAGACAGGAAACAGAGTGAAGAAATAAAGAGCTTTAATTCTAATATGATTTAGGTTTAAAGTGCCCTTATAGTTTATTGAGATTAGAGAAATTCCCTATGCCCTGATAGAGATTTGTATCAGTTAAGTTATAAAGAGAAAGGTCACACTAAAAACTTTTGAGAACCAACAAGTACATAAAATAGTAAACTAATTGGGATTACTTTCTAGCCCTCGTTGTATGTAGGTAAAAGTAAAAATGTGAAAGTGAGTTTGTTTTTTTGTTACGCTTTCTCGTCTAAACCACTAAAATTCTTTCACCAATGGAAAGCTACATTATCAGCGAGTAACATAGGCTACTTTTTACCGCGATAACCGACATGCACGCGGGCGGAACCGCGGGCAGAAGCTAGTAAATAATAAAGATAAGATAAGCATTTTAGGTATTATTGATTGAAAGTCCTAATAATCATTAAACCTTTTTCCAAACCCAGTTATTTTGGGCGCACCGCATAAGCTAACTTTTTAAGTTGCTTATAATTTATAACAACAAGTCAAAGTAATGCAAAACACATTAACAGCTCTAAAAAGAACTTGAATGCAAGTCAGCTGCGTGCTCTGACACCAAACCTGAAGGTCGCTTTATCCCTTGATAAAGGGCCCTACAGTAGTCGGGCATCCCCAGAATACATACGTGAGTTTGTATGTCTAAATATAAAAATGTTAAGTTGGTTTGCGTACGCTTCAAAAACTCAAAAAGTTCTGCATTGATTCAACTCAAGCTCAAAATTTTGACACGAAAGATTGTTTTCATATATTTTTCGCGTCAGTTTTGGTTCCTCATTCCTCATCAATGCAACCAGAATGTGAAAAGTGGCAGGGTGCAGCTAGTCCTTTATAAATAAGTATCAATAGCACACACGATTTTTTTTTATTGGTTAGTTTACTTTTTCGGGCATTTCTAAAAATGTTTAGTGTGACTTCAATGCTCTACCGAATAAGGCTTTCATTGTTACAAAAGAAATGTAAAAAAAAAGAGAAAAAAGAAAAGCCGCACATGACGATTGATGTGTCACAAGTGACATCTCAGCTACCAACTGCGCTTTTTCTCTGCTTCCTGTTACATACTTCCGAGTAAAAATCGCACAACAATCACAACAGATTAAAGAAAAGCAAGAGGAATGGTGTTACGCATTAAAAACTAGTATGACAAGATAATACCCAGGATGTTTGATATAAATCAACCAGAAGGCCAATTCTCGTAATAAAAGTTCAGTCACAATTCAGTTCCGGTGCCGATCAAATCTCGATCTAACAGCTGTCATAAAAGTTATTTTCGTAGTAAAGTATATATTAAATATCCAACATAGACTGTAATGTGACTATATCATATGGTAACCAAAAATTAAATCGGTATTCAACTTGTCTTAGTTATACTTTACTAATTTACTAAGAAAATACCTTTTATGGCAGTTGCGAGATCGAGACTTGATCGAAACTGAATTGTTACCGAACTTTAATTAATAGAATTGGCCTTCTGACCTAACTATTAGTTTCGTGCTTAATATAATATTTGTGCTTAGATTAAACTTACCAAAGGAGTGTTGTAATAAAGGCCAAATATCATTCTAGGTAAAAGTGGCAAGACTACATTCTTAAAACAAACTACTTTCCCTCTAAAGGTTTTTAGATCCCAAATAGGATTATCAGTAAATGCGTTAAATGATTCTTTAAATGCTGAATCGTAAGTGTATGTTTCCCACACTAAAATGTGATTATCTTTAGAAAATGTAGAAGGATGTGTTGAGTTAACATGGAGTGATGCATACAAGTTGAAAAAGTCACAGAAGTGATGATACATGTTAACAGCTGAAACAGATATAAAACAAATTTAAGTCTTTTCAGAGTCCAATATAAAACAAAAGAATGTTCGTTTTTTCATTCTAATGTAGTGCATTCATACCCACAAAAGATAGTAAGTACCTGATAAATATAAGTCCCAAGTACATAAAATTAGTAGTAGCAGATAATTTATATACATACTTGCATCTAATTTCATAATATAGGTCGGTTTATTTATAACTATATCACACATTCCGTCAACTATTGGCCTTTTGGGTGTCCTAACAAAGTGCACAAGTTCTGGAGCCCATGATTGAAGAGCGCTCATATGATCTGCTTCTTTTCTGAGTCGATCTGAATAAAAATTGCAGTATCCCCCTGAAAAATAGTAAAAATGCATTAATGTTTGTTGATTGTAAAGTTGTAGCAAGTATTGATTGATTTAAAAAAAAATGAATTTATCATTAATTGTGGTATAAATTCAAATTCGATTATTAATTAGTCCTAGTCTAAACTTAAATTTAAACCATTTGGAAGATATTTATTGCAGACATCAATAAATATAACTAGTCATAACATAACTATAGACAAAAGGACAAAAGGCAAAAGGCCGACTGCCAAGTTTTCCAATGTTTTTGCATGTATCCTGAATGTTTGTTTGTAAATTTCTTTATTATCTCTGACCTTCGAAATAGCTGGATGAATTATGGCAGCTAAGGAATTGTTTTATTCGTCTCAAAAACCCAAGTGGCATATTGAAAGAAAAATATATCTTCTTGAATTTTTGGCTCTTGTTTATACATTTAAACCTGTGTAACTATAGATTTCGATTCTTTTGTCCACGAGTTTTAGACTTATAAGAAAGGGTGTTGGTATTAAAATAGACCCTTTGCTGAAGGTAAGCTGAATACATTGAAATCTCAAATACATTTATTGCATTCCAAAATGTGATACAGATGTCAAGCTTATAATAAAGTTACAATTATGGACCCTGTCGGGTACAGCAAAATGTTAGGAGAGAGGAAGAGTTTATTACAATTATTATTGCTGCTATAAATGTATACACACAAAAATTGGATTCAACTATAGATAATTTTGTTTCGTTTTAATAGTGTTTTTAATTTAGTCAATATTACTTCATATTAAATGTCATTCTCATATTTATATATAATCATAAGTTAGTAAATGCAATTTAAATATCAATTATTATTTAACAATGTTTGTATGATATTAAATTTCGTTCACATACAGAATACAAAAGAATAAATTGGGTTAGTCTAATGCTAATAATTATCACTTCATACAATGGAAACACTACACTAAGTAAAGTTTGTTATAATTTTAGTATTTTGTTCTAAGTGTAACGGTGCATTTCGCACCATTACAGTAATTTGAACCTTAGTCTTGTTTTTGTTTTGTTAGGTTGAATTTTATGTCGTTTCTGCGAGTGCCGATGGTCGAGGGGTGGACGAGAGTAATAATCGATGTTGTTCGCCCGCGATAGTTAGTCGATTTAGTTTTTCTTGTCCTGGCAACATTTTTTTTCTCACGTTCTAGGGAGTGACAAGCTTTTGCTCTGGCAACACGCTAGCGTCACATTTGGAATTTCAGCCCGAGTGAGATGAAGCAGAGCGAGTCATTGTAATTTATTTTATTAGTAATCCATATTTATTTGATATGGACGAGGGCCTATTTCCTCTTTAAATGTTTGGCCAACCTAGTTAAGACTCGAGCTATTGGTTCGAGTGGTTATTTTTATTAAAAAGGTAAGTTTTGTTCGGCCACGTGCTTCATGCTTAGCTTGGCAGAATTAGTGGTTCTAACTCTTTGTTTGATTGGTTACAGGAAATGGTTATAATGCCGCTGCTTAGTTTGTGAAACATTTTGGGACCCTGGTGAGTAATCTATGGTATCTTGCCAGAATTAGGATTCATCTTATGAGATAGGTGATTAACCTATAATTTTTTCTTATTTACAGATGAATCAGGGTTTTTTTTTTAGTTTATATCTAAGGTCTTAATAATACCCTAATTTCTCTTTTATGCCTGAATTTCTTTACATTCAAATTATACTTGACTTTCTTATTGGAATGTCATTGCATGGCATTCGGATTTTTGTCTCTCGCCGGCCTGACCCCAGGAAATTAGTTTGCTGTGGAGCACCTAAATGGTAGAAAAAGCTGCTTAGCTGCACGCCATTGTCTGGAGCCTGGGAGTGCTAACCCGCCTCTTCCACCACGTGGGAACCGGAGTGAGGAGTTTTCGGAGTTGGTTTGCTATCATTTCATTCGGACTGAACCAAGGTCATTGGTATGTGTTTTGTTATATTTTTCTTGGCGACGTGGCATTGGATACTGCAGGTCCCCAAGGGGTGTTATTTTTTATTAGAGAGTAGGTCAATGCTACGTCTACCCTTAGAGTTTATTGTTTTGTCTATTAAGTCTTTATGCGACTTTGTTTAAAAACCTATACAGGTCCCCAAGGGGGTTAATTTTAATTAAGGGAGTAGGGCGTTGCTACAACTACCCTTAGACTCTTTTCTTATTGGGTCTTCATGTGACTCTTAAAACTTATTTAACCTTATATTTTTATTGGAAAGGATTGCATTAATGACAGTAATTTGTGTTTAAGAATTACCTATTGTAATTAGAGACATAAGACACTTTGTACTCTACAGACACTACGGGATAATAAACTGCCACTAGAACTTAACATCTTGTATTCATTAGCTGCTCCCCGACCTAGATTAAAGGTTCAGTGCTGGCCGAGTTGTCCGAGGTATTTGTTGTGTTTGTGGTAGGTTCTGTGTTCTTTTAAGGTGGTATCTGGCGCCCGAGACTTTTAGTTTGTTATTTTGTTACTATTTGATGCCACCAGTTTAGTTTTATTTGTTTAAAACACACCCAACACATATAAAATATTTTTTTTTATTTTTTTAATATTACATAAGTTAAATATTGATAGCGCTTTATGTATTATTCGATTATTGTTTAATGAAATATGCATCTGGAAATTATTATAATTCTGTCAATGGTTTGTAATTATTGTTAATTATCTAAGTATTCTTGTATGCTGTAGTAGTTTTTACTCACGAGAATTTTTTTTAGTTTATTAACAAAGATGTTGATTTTTTCTTCTTTTTTTATGGACTCTGGCAACTTATTGTATATTTTTATTGACATGACCAAAGGGCCCGAGGAATGCATTGCTAGATGGGAAGTTGGTATGTTTAGTCTATTTTTGTGCCTTAATGTGTATCTAGTTTGTATATTCTCTCTAGTAGTGTAATGTTCCGGGTATTTCTGGACAAATTTACAGATTTCTAAAATGTATATACCCGGCAAAGTTAATATTTTTAGTCTTTGGAAATGGGGCCTACATGTGTCAGTTTCTTTTATGTTCACTAAAATTCTTATAAGTTTTTTTTGTTGAATAAATACAGTAGCTGCATCTGTGCTATTTCCCCATAAGATGACGCCATTATTATTATTATTATTATCCAACCATCAAGCATCTACCACCGGGAGATGCTAGTGGAGGCTCTTGTGCATATTTACAGCTTTTTTACATATATAATTTTAATACATACCTATTTGACCAGGGCCTAGAATATCCATTTTATAACGTAGGTTGTCGCCACGGCCAATAAGTCCAGTGAAATTCAACATCATGTTTCGACCACGACAAAACCTAGAACACAAAAAGACCCTTATAAACTATAAGTCACTAGAGTTTTTCCTACTGTAATAGTAGTAGGAGTAACACCACACCACAACTAATCATTTATATAATATTGATACAGAATATAATCTTCAATGCCTTATGGTCGTACAACATAATAGCCACAACACTATGTGCTCTGTCTGTAATTGCCACAATGCATTGTGAGCGTTTTCGTCCTAAAGCACAGGAGGGCAGCACAATGACCTCTGGTATTGTCTTCGAATGCCATCAAGCAGTTTGATGGCATTCGAAGCCTTGCCACAACAAACGAGGAGCTCCTCCAATGGATTGAAGGGCTTAGTAATTCACACGGGAATGACGCTGCAGATGAGTTGGCAAGGAGTGGCTCGGCAACCCCGGCTGCCGGCCCAACCACACTCCTTCCACTGCCTTTTAACCAACTGCGATCCTGGGTAAGACAGCGTACTTGTGAAGCGCACAACCAAAGGTGGAAAAACTCACCCAGCTCCAGACAGTCCTGTCGCTGACTGAAGTCTCACCATGACTTATTTGCAGACTGATTGGTCTTAGCAGACTAGATATCCAAATAGTTGCAAACTATAACAGGACACCTAGCCCTGAACTGACAACTATTCATCATTAATACGACGAAGTACCATACCTGGTACAAAATCGCTTCTAGAAGCCTGTGAATGCGCCAGGAGGCTTCTGTGCTTCTGGAAGGAGCTTGGTTGGCTCACCTAGCCAACCTCTTCTAAATGCATAAAGGACCACTCTTGAGTCTAAATGCGGAAATCAGAGCCCACAACCAATACCAATACCAAAATACCTTACTTTCAATAATTTAGTAGTAGTTCAATGACCTAAAAATGTTAAAACTTATATAGGTAAAACTACATCATATTTCCTTCTTTTTTGAAATTAGTGTGTTTCAGCAATTTCATATCCATAAAACTCAGTAGTTTTATGGATATGAAATTGCTGAAACACACACACACAAAACAGTTTTTGTACATATTCTGCCATAACCATTTCTATCTTAAAGATATAAAATACTTAATTTTCCACCTTTATATCAATTTTAATAGTTTGTTTTTGTTTACCTTAAATATTTTGAACATTCAAGTGATGTATCATCTGGATAGGAAGCTTCACACATTACCATCAAGTCATTTATTTGTTCTTCAATATAACCTGGAAAATATAAATATATATTTTAACTATCTGTACCCTGCCACGTTCGCATTGATGAGAAATGAGCAACAAAACAAACATGAAACATAGGTAAAAACAACCTTTGAAGCAGGTTGTATATAATGTCAAAATTAGAGATTTATAATATGCTGTTAAAGGCAATTTTAATATATTAAATGCACAATGTATCTAACATATTGATTTGGATAAGGAATAATACTGTATTGTTCAAAGGAGCTTTGAAAAATTACCCATTATTTCTTGTAATATGTAAAAGATTAAAATGATTACTGTGGCCTATCTTTAGGAGATAGACATGTACTATTTTAGACTTCTTTGTAGATATTTTTATGATATGCAATTTCATAATACATTATTTTGATCTATCTTTAAGATTAAGATAGGGTTTGCAATGTATGAGCACTAAAACATGTTTTTTAAAACTTTACATTAGAAATATTTAAAATTCTTGGATGTCCTCTACTATAATTTGTATTATACATATAAATCCGTCTCTTGAATCACCCTCTCTATTGGTAAAAACCACATTACACCATATAGAAAAAAGCAACTTCATTTTAATCTAAGTAGAGATTACAAATTTAAGGTAGCCAATACTTTGACAGTCAGCATGTGTTCACTCATATGTAAATTCTGTACATCAACATGGAGCAAAGGCATACAATGTTTGTTCAGGTTCATTACAAGAGTGGATTATAGATTTAGCTACATAGCAGTCACATTTATGTCTATGTAATTAAAAAAATAAAGTATAACACAAATTTAGTTTATAGACTTTGAGTCAAGTCAAGTTTCTTTATAATAAACAATTAATTATAGACCTAAAAGCTCATTTAAACAGATGTCAGTTAGCATATTTCCTGATTACACTCTTTTGAATGAGGGAAAACTCAAGCTGTATTAGTTGTAATAAATAACTGCCTTACCAAAATCAGCCTGGGTATAGAATGTATCATACTGAGCCACTTTGGTTTTTACCCAACCGCGATGATCGCCAGGACATAAAGGGCGGACGGGATAAGATACGTCCTTCTCACAATCTCTTTCATAACCCCAACAGGCCTTAATTTTCACTAATTCTTTATATGGACAATTTGGATCTAGTAAGCAAGAATTAGCAAGACTGGGAAAGGCATTGAAAACGTATGTGACATGTTCTGGAGGTACATTAAGATGAGAAATGTCTACAGAAAAAATATTGTTAAATGATATTATAGTGTAGAAAAAATACAATGGGAACAACATTTTAACAGTTTTTAATTCAAAACTTTACAGAAAAGTACTAGAATACACATTTGTGTTGCCAAAACATACGTAGAATGTCAGATCAGACAGATCACAGATGACAGATGTTAATGTCAAGGCTATCATTTCACATATTTTTAATACAATGACTCCACTGTTAAGATCTCAAGTTCATCGCCGCTTTAAAGTGCAAAGAAACTTACTACACATAATTTTTATTGTTGTTTTAGTATAATAAGTAGGCCATCTGGATTTACTTCAAAATGTGTAACTTTAGGTTAGATAAGTCATGCCATCAGAGCATTTAATGTACAATTCAGTCATTTCTAGAGAAGAGAATTAGTTCCAGAAATTATGCTTTCAATCAGCATGCTATCCAGGTGATAGCATCATAAGTGATACCCGGAAGGATACATTGGTCAAATACGTGCACCTTTTGTTCGGCTTTAAAATAAATTTTAATGGCAAACTGGAAATTGGTATAGACTACCCTGGCTAATTTTATACGTGTGGTGATTTCATTCAACTGATTCTTCTTACCGCCAACTATCTCCTGCCCCAAATATACGTATTTGTCTACTCTTTAGTTTTGTCGCAATTCCTTTCCAGTTCACATCGGATAGGGACATCGCTGAGTTCTTGGATCATTCATCTGGATCACATGCGAGCAAAACGATATCATTACAAAAATGGAAATTATTTTATCGATAACCCAAGATCTTTCCAGTTAAGGCTTCTTAAGCTTTGGTGAAAGCATATCTCCTTGTCGCACGCACTTTTCTATTCGAACCGGCTCAGTGAGTGGTGATAGGTTCACCTGTAATGTGTCTTTCTTATACACATTTTCGATCAGAGTCGTATATCGATTATCTGTACGTGCATTGTGATTCAACACTGTCAAATGCTTTCTTGTAATCTATAAAAGTATTCCAGTATTCAGTCGTTTTTTCTATGACGGTTCTCATCGACAATATGTTGTCTAATGTGCTGTAACCGCATCAGAAACCGGCTTGTTCCTCAGGCTGATATGAGTCTAACTTTTTTGATAAGGCGTAGAGTCATAACTCTAAAGTATGTCAAGAGGACACTTAAAATCGGACATGTTCGCATTTCAATAAAACGTTTAAGGCTCATTTTTACAAATGTTTTAGTAAAACTACTGTTTGAAAATTCCACATAGTTTTCTAGAAAAACTGTAAAAGTTATCACTTTTGATTTTTGGCTTGACTTGTGGCTATCAAAATAATAACTTAAGTTTAGAATGGAAAGAAGAGAATTATCCAGATAATAATCTTGTCTATATTTAATAGAAACTTAAATATTTAAGATATATTCAGGCATTCTTATTAGGCTAACTAGACTAATTGGTGTAAGATATTTTAGAATCTGTAGAAGAAATGTGTAATGTCAGACTTATTCAATTATTGTGTAATTTCACACATTATAAGTTAAAAGGCTGTTATATATTAATTGTTAAATAAACAACAATGTTTATTTTCAAATTCTGCATTTTGTTAGTAAAGTGTCAGTTGTTTAATTTAAATTCAGTTTGCTTGTCATTATGCATAATCCTAAAACTGCTATCTGGGCTGGACTGGACCACATGTATCATAAAATGAAATGTTTCACATTTCTATCTAGTCTACATATCACCAATACATATATTATTATGTGTAAATATATATACTTTTTATGTTACAGACACCTGTATACAGAGCAGTGAAGTTGACTGGCATTAAATGTGCATCAAGTAAGATCAATATTGAAAAGTACATAATATAATAAAATATAATCCGTTAATAAAACATACACATGCACAGATCATGACAATAGTATACTTGATGTATCTAAATTCCACAATGAAATTTTATTTCAGAATTGTTGCAGGTTCCTGTTGATAATATAGCAAACTTACAAAAAGTAAAAGTTGAACCAAAAGATTTTGAAGAAAGACTGGTAATAGAATTATACTTTGCTAGTGGATGTCCTAAATGAGATAACCCAAGATCTTTCCAGTTAAGGCTTCTTAAGCTTTGGTGAAAGCATATCTCCTTGTCGCACGCACTTTTCTATTCGAACCGGCTCAGTGAGTGGTGATAGGTTCACCTGTAATGTGTCTTTCTTATACACATTTTCGATCAGAGTCGTATATCGATTATCTGTACGTGCATTGTGATTCAACACTGTCAAATGCTTTCTTGTAATCTATAAAAGTATTCCAGTATTCAGTCGTTTTTTCTATGACGGTTCTCATCGACAATATGTTGTCTAATGTGCTGTAACCGCATCAGAAACCGGCTTGTTCCTCAGGCTGATATGAGTCTAACTTTTTTGATAAGGCGTAGAGTCATAACTCTAAAGTATGTCAAGAGGACACTTAAAATCGGACATGTTCGCATTTCAATAAAACGTTTAAGGCTCATTTTTACAAATGTTTTAGTAAAACTACTGTTTGAAAATTCCACATAGTTTTCTAGAAATAAAAATTTGAAATTAATTAATTTACTCATTTCAAAAGGAGAAAAAATCTTATTAAATAACTAATAGCATTAAAATCAAAAACTCTACACTATTTCATAGACCCCTTAGAAATACACGTAATAGGCGTTTAGTATGCTTCGTGAATGCCTGTAGTTAATCAGGATTATTTTTTCGTTATTTCAGTTTTTTTTACTCAATATCACCAGGACATATGCAATCTTTTTTTATTGTAACACGTAGTATTCTAGTAGTGTATAAAAAATTAATTTTAAATACCGTGGTATATTTGAGAAAATAAAAATTGAAATCTGCATTAGGGCTGTCACGTTCAAACGCAACTTCGCCTTTTTAATAATTTTTAATAAATTCAGTCTGGAGGACAATATCTGCGATACAGGGATGTGCTGAAGCGCCATTTAACAGCCATTACCTTTCCCCAAAGTTGTGGGAAGAACTGGCTAGAAACAGAACGGAGTGGAAGAAAGCTGTCCATCAGGGCATTCAAACTTGTGAAGGAAGCCGTCTTAAAGACCTTGACGCCAAACGCCAGCTTCGGAAAACTCGTACTAAGACCTCCCATTCTCCTATACACTTATAATACGCGGGGTGAACTTCATTGTGCCTCATGTGTTTATTCAATATATTTAAATAAAAGCCATAGAAATGGACAGTACAAATATTTATACTTATAATATAGTAAGCCAATAGTTACACATAATATATAAGTACTATACGTAGATATAAAGGTGATGGTACCTACTAATATTGTAGCGTAACGTACATTGTAGAGTAGAATTTAAATTGTTGTTATTTACTTATATTATTTTTAAACAGTTTATCTGTTTAAAAAGAAATCGGTCAGGTATGAGACGAACTTCCGTACATGATGTTACGTAGATTTTCGCGAAAATTTGTAAGTACCAAAATTTATCTTAATTTTCAACTTCCGGTTGACCTAGAATTGAAAATTTTGGTTAAAAGCAAAGTCTTACAGCACAAGTAAAGAGAAAATTCTGAAAAAAAAAAGTTAAAAAGTAAGGTAAATTTTGGTACTTATTCGAAAATCGAAATTTGGATTTTTTTTATTGTGTTGACTCAGGACTTTGATTTTTAAATACCTAATAGGGACCATAGACGTCAGTATCTGGTATAAATTTCAATTTGCTAGGTCTACCCGTTCCTGAGAAAATCGGTGCTGATCCACGGACAGACGGACCAGAAAGTGTTCTTATAAGTGTTCCCTTTTTACCTTTTGAGGTACGGAACCATTATTAGATTAAGTAAAGCTGAAAATATTTAAATGAAAATAAAGATATGCATTATAATGTCAGCAATTTTTTTATCAAACTTTAGGGTACTGTTACCAGTCATTGTAAACTAAAAGACTTATATTCTTTTTACACAAAAAGTAAATCTAGTCTATGACTTACAAAAAAGAAAATATCTTTGGAAAATAGTACATTTGAAATACAATAGATGTCGCTACTTACAAGTAATTTGGCGCCTTTTCCGGAATACAAAATTCCCGGTGGATGCCACCGCGATTACCACGTGAACACAACAGCAGTATCCAATCAGCTGGTAAATCATAAAACCGCCCGCCCGCCTTTCTGTTTACTCTACCGTTGTTTCAAATAAGCTTCTAAGCTTATTGTTTATACAATATTTGTGCTTGTTTTTGTGAACTGATATAATTGGGATTAAAGTGACATTATTCATAAGTGGTTTTAGGAAGCATAAGTTAATTTGAATACAGTTTTTGACCTTCGAAGTTAACCCTAAACTAATGTCGCCATTTTGACCATTCAAATTGGGTTTAGTAGGTATTTTTATTTTGTTTGGTCATCAACACATGTATAAATGTTGCTTTAGTGAATTGTGTAAATGGATGTTCAATTACGAAGAATACGGAGAAAATGTCTCAGACGAATAGTACTGTAAATTTTCTTATACATGACGCTAATGGTTAGTAACCAAGATGCTTTTATTTGAAGCATTTTCTATGTTATTCTCAGTAGTTAATTTAGATACTGATCACTTGATATAATATTTAAGTTAAACTACAGACGAGGCTAGCAAATCTATTATTTCACATGATGTTTCCCGGCGTCATTTCTGTTTTTTCTCATGTTACCTATTTGTTTAGCTATTTTTTTTTAATTGCCCTTAAAATATCTTCATAGCCTTCGGCTTAATGCACGGTCCGAAATTGTCTCCTGTATCTTTCTTTAACACTTGTTCAAGTTGTGGTCTATAATGCCTTTAAAATTTTAGGACAACCCCAAATGGTGAAAGTTGTTCAAAACACAAGTAATCAATCTATTGCTCAAATCAAAATAAAGCCTAATCCTGTGAAAGTAATAAAACTGCCAGCCACAACTGAAGGCAATATTAAGGTATGTTGTCTCTCAACCTAGGTATTTACTAATTACTGGCTTTTGCCCTGCAAATTTTGATTGTGTTACTATAGATAATAACAGTCATTTAAGGTGCATCTCACAAGCATTAGATTTTTCTCGAATGTACCATATTTCGTTTTCTGAACCCTTGAAAAAGAGTTTGTTAAATTTATTAACAGGTCAAGTCAAAAGTTGTTATACTTGACTTGACATTAAGATGTGCCACAGCTGATGATGCTCCACAGATGTTTTGAATGTTAAAAACGAATCTAGGAAGGCATAAATTGTTACATATATTTTACAGAAACGTTTAATCATATCATACCAATAAAATTTTAACAAGAACTGTGTGTAAAAGTCATCACTTTTGATTTTTGGCTTGACTTGTGGCTATCAAAATAATAACTTAAGTTTAGAATGGAAAGAAGAGAATTATCCAGATAATAATCTTGTCTATATTTAATAGAAACTTAAATATTTAAGATATATTCAGGCATTCTTATTAGGCTAACTAGACTAATTGGTGTAAGATATTTTAGAATCTGTAGAAGAAATGTGTAATGTCAGACTTATTCAATTATTGTGTAATTTCACACATTATAAGTTAAAAGGCTGTTATATATTAATTGTTAAATAAACAACAATGTTTATTTTTCAAATTCTGCATTTTGTTAGTAAAGTGTCATTTGTTTAATTTAAATTCAGTTTGCTTGTCATTATGCATAATCCAAAAACTGCTATCTGGGCTGGACTGGACCACATGTATCATAAAATGAAATGTTTCACATTTCTATCTAGTCTACATATCACCAATACATATATTATTATGTGTAAATATATATACTTTTTATGTTACAGACACCTGTATACAGAGCAGTGAAGTTGACTGGCATTAAATGTGCATCAAGTAAGATCAATATTGAAAGTACATAATATAATAAAATATAATCCGTTAATAAAACACACATATGCACAGATCATGACAATAGTATACTTGATGTATCAAAATTCCACAATGAAATTTTATTTCAGAATTGTTGCAGGTTCCTGTTGATAATCTAGCAAGCTTACAAAAAGTAAAAGTTGAACCAAAAGATTTTGAAGAAAGACTGGTAATAGAATTATACTTTGTTAGTGGATGTCCTAAATGAGGCAGACTTGACTCTAAGTTGTATAATTTACAGGTAAATCAGGAGCAGTTATCAGAATTAAAATATATACATCCAGTTCCAGAACTTGTTTCACTACCTATAAAGTCTGAAAACCAAGTGACCAGTACTAGTTCTGATAACTTATCAACTATGTCACATGCCTCCAGAAGGAGACATGATTCAGATAATGACCCACCAGCTGAATAGTAAGTAAAATACCTTAATACATACTCAGAAAATATTTAAGGCCATATATTTTTAATAGCCTTTGCATCGTCTGGGTTTGACTTTTTAACTTTTAATAGAATATTATTAAACAAATCATTGGGAGAGGCCTATGTCCAGCAGTGGACAAGCATAGGCTGAGGTATATATTAAACAAAAGTGGTAAATTTTAAGTATCATTAATTTATTTTCTTTAAATAGAACTGTAAGAACATTTCAAACTATAGTTTTGATTGTAGCAATGGCTTATTGATCAGCCCCTCTTGTGTGGGGACTATGCTATCCTTCCTTCCCCTAAACGACGCGCGCGCTACGGAGCCCCTTGTCTCGGCCTCGCTTATCTGCTTCGGGCTTGCTCTTATGGAGGACGGAGGTCATTTAGTGACCTCCGGCATCTGAGTTGCTTGCGGTACCTGGTCCGTTCTCGGGCCTGGCGGACCAGGAGAGCTCCAGAAGACCGATCCTGTATCGCTTGATAGATAGTCGCATAACACATACGACTTCGGCAGTGTCTGGGAATTGCGACCCAGGAATAGGTTTAGGGAGCACTCCTTGCGACGCGTCAGCGCTCACCTGTTTGCTGTGTTACCCTCTACCTAAACATACTTGATACGAGCCTAGCAGTGCCGCTTTGGATATTCGTTCAAGAGAAGAGGTTACTGAAGCTCTTGGCAATCCAAGGTCCTTAAGTAGGTTATAGAGGAATTTAGCTAGCAAAATATTACAATATTACATAAATTTGGCATACAACGCAACGCAACGAAATAACCATCTTTAGTTATTTCGTTGGCTAAGTCTTTTTAAAGCGTGGTCTTCAGGGATGTTCGTTTTCTACGGTACCGTGAGTTCTACTAGTACTACACGCTTAATTGTTATTGCATAAAACTTATGTCTGGTCTAGACGCCCAGGCACAGATATCTTTCGGTATTCTGTAATGCTTTTCATATGTCCTCTCACTGGCGGTATTTATAATTGAGTACGGCTTTTGTAGTCTTTTTGTTGAGCCTTCCTTTACAAACTCGATTTATTTCTGTGTGCAAATATATTGTTGTTATTCCTTTTTTCGCTTTCGCCAGTGATAAACTTAAAGCTTCGCGTATGATTACAAATCCTCTACCCTACCCGTACCCTATCATGACGACGTGAATAATGACCCTGGTCTAGTAGCGCCTTACAACCTGTCATTAAGAGCCTGGCTGTACCTATTGCCGTTTTCTGTAGCCTGCTTTGATCGGGGAGAGTTAATTGAAAGGCGTTGAGCTAAAATTTTAATAAGGCAGGTGACTAATCGTATAAAAGTGTGTGCCATTTCAAAGCTCGTGGGATACAAAATTCACCTAGAGTTAACCATTCATTCTGCATTTCTTCATTTCTGCAAAGATTTGGTTATTTCTTTGTCCGTCTCTCTCTACTGATCTGCGTGCTCCCCATAAATTTCTTGTGGAATTGTAGCCGTGACTCGATTTCTGATGAATTTTAGTCTTTTGGAAGCGATCTAACAATTTTGTGTTGTGATTTGGACAAAACATGCAATTTGGTAATTCTTAGGTGTTTGTAGAGTGCCGAAGGTCTTTTAAATTTCATTAATTTTCATGATCTTTGCTTTTTTCGTTTATTTTTTATTTTTTTGGAAGGGCGTAACTTAGTCCCATCTGAAAAGCTATGATTTTTTTGCTTACGCATACATTCTTGATGACCGCTGGTGTCCTAACTGTGCGATGTCGGCCGCACCTTTTTCGATCTTCGAAGCTTGAATCTTCAGTGTAACATTTGATAGTGCGCAAACAAAACAGTAGGGTTATTTTATTTGTTATTTTTTCTTAACTTGGTAGGTATAAATAAAGGCATAATTTAATACCAAACTAACCACAAATATTTGGAAAATCGAAATATGATTGTGTAGAAAATAGTTGGATCAGGTGTCGTACGGAGGTTTCCTTAAAAACAGGGCAACGTGTTAAATAAATGATATGATAAAAAAAAACAAAATCACATGTTATATAAAATAGTAGGGGGAAGTCCCCTAGTGCCGGACACATAAGGTTTTCAGGAAATAAAATTAAAACTACATCGAAATATGTATTTATTTATGAATTACTTAAATTAACAAAACATAAAATCAAAATCAAATAACAAAAATACAAATTCTGCGTAAACATAGTTTACGAGTGTTAAATAAGTTTTGGTAAAAAAATAAAGGACTTTGACATTGGCACCTAGTGCCGGACGGGTTAATCTTCAAACCCCAAGCGCCGGACATTCTAAAACTTTTAGCATCTATCACATATGTAGGCATCTCCACATTCTGGAACGTCTGCACATGCTTCATGAGCCCATTATTGGCATCTGGAGCATTGTATCCAGTCCTCGTCGTGGTCTTCTAAACACACTACACAAGTCGTTTTTTCTATATTTGATACTTCAGTTAACGGCTCCTTTTTGTTGTCGTTATTGCCACGTTTGGTTTGTTTACTCATGGGGAATCTTCATAGCTTCAGCCAAGTCGTAAGCTAACTTCAAAAACTCGTTTTTCATCAGGGGCAGACATCTATTAGACAAATCTCTTATGTGGTCCACTAAAACTTGCTCATACTCGGGTGAGAAGGTTTTTGTGAATCTACCAACTTTTGGTTGCAACGTGACTTCTTTTCCACTGCTCAATGTCGTTATTTTATCATGTAGAGTACTTTTTGGAACATTGTAACGTGACGAAGCTGCCCTCAAACTCATTTTTTTGGACAAAATCTTGTTCATCGCAGTTTTTAAACTTTGCTGATCCCATTTTCCTTTTTTTTTTCTCTCTTGCATTTTCAAATATCTCTCTCCTTCTATCCTGTAAAACAACAAACAATCATCATTACAATAAGTACAAATGCTTCATAAAAAAGCTAACCTATAAACTGTCCGGTGGGAAGGGACACCTTTGTGTCCGAAAGTAGGGGACAGGAAACGTCCAAAATTACGTATTTCGTACTAAAACTGTTTAGGTATTTAATAAAAACTTTCACAATATAATAATTATAGTGAAACACTGTCTTTATTAACAAATAACAAAAACAATTAAGGATAAAACCATAGCACATAGCTTTCCCACCAAAAACAGCAATTCACGGCTTCCACCACGACTGTGCGCCTCACTGGCAAATCGCGTTGCGTGATCCTGTCTCGCTACGTTCCCCCGCACCCCTTTCACCGATTTATAAATAGATCGCGTTGACGTTTGTCAAAATAGTATGAGTGTCCGGCGCTAGGTGCCGTCCGGCGCTACGGGACTTCCCCCTATATGTGAATTGAAAACTGACCCTGTTATCTATCTATATATATATATATATGAGATTTCCACGTATATATATATATAGATAAAGACTTGAAATTTGGTAGGAATATTTTTTTCACCGAGTAGAGGTCAGCTAAGAACGGCTTTTAAGAAATTAAAAAAAAAAAAATGTAAATAGAAAAACAACGTTTGCAGGGTCAGCTAGTCAATTATATTTATTACAAGTTTTTGTCGTATTGTGTTTTTATTATGTTGCTGACTTGTGACACAATAGGATAATCTAGGCTTATCTTATTTAGTACTTTAAAATAGTTAATATTTAACAAAACTTCATTGCTTATTATGTGTCATTCCGAGGTTCATCCTCATTTTAGCCTTAAGTATCAACTATAACGCAATTCAATAGTCAGCGTAAGGCGAACAAAAGATCACTGCTCACACACACTCCTACAGATTATTGCTATACTAAAAAAATGACTGCAAAATGTCCTGAAATAATAGTATCTATTCCGTAAACTATGTACGAGTATGTTGCAGAATGTGCATTCACAAATCATGTTTTATACATTTTTACGACATATAATAATAATATAATATTCTATCACATTCACACAACGCCATCTAGTCCCAAACTAAGCAGAGCTTGTACTATGGCTACTAGACAACTGATATAAATACATATATACTTTTTTATTTGTAAATACATACTTATTATACATAGAAACACCCAGACCAAATCAAACATTAAATTTTCATGCACACAAATGTTTGACTTGAGCGGGCATCGACCCCGCGACCTTTGGAATAGCAGTCCATTACACAAACCACTACGCCATTCGGTCGTCAAAAAAAAAATCATTTGGTATAAAATATAAATTAATTTAGACTTCACTGTGTAGAGTTTTTAACAGTTTTTTTTTATTTCAGCACCACTAAGAGACGTAAGCATGCCGATAAAGTTGGAAAAGGGTTGAGGCATTTTTCCATGAAAGTATGTGAAAAAGTGAGGAACAAAGGGTTCACTTCTTATAATGAAGTTGCAGATGAGTTAGTGCTTGAATTTGCTGCTGGGATGCATGGTTCGGCAGATAGTCAGGTACTTATAATTACTTTATTTACTTATTTGACAGCTTTCTTTAGACTTGCCATCAATTTTTTTTTTTAATTTTTGTAAGATATTAAATCTAATTATGGTTAACTGATTTTAGTTCTTAGGTCTTTACCTATGAAGTTGGAGTTATGTATGAAAATTTTAAAATATAAAAAATCTCTTTACTGTTGAAACTGTTGTACTGTGTGAAATCTGTTGGACGGCAATGAAGTTAGCGAAAGCGTTTTGTACTGCCTCTCGGGTGAAAATCTCTTTCCCACTTAAAAAAATCTATAAATTTGGAAAAAGTAGAAATCTGGTTCAAGGTCCGGTGAGTATGGTAGGTGATGGAGAGCTTCTGTCTTGTAGCTTTGCGGTGATCTGTCGGGAAGTGTGAACTCGCGCGTTGTCGTGGAGAAGCAATTGGGAAGAGCGATTGACCAGTCGGGATTGTTGAATTACGAGCTTCGCCGTCATTGTTTGCAATTCTTGGCAATAGTCATCTGCCGTCACTGTTGTACCATTCGGTAAGAAGCTGTGATGTACAAGTCCGGCGCTGGTCCACCAGACAGTCACCATCATCTTCCTATGTGTAATCTCTTTTTTTAGCGCACTGATTAGGTGCTGTACCCAGGTTCACCCACTAAGACGATCGCTTACGGTTATCATACATTATCCACTTTCCATCGCAGGTAACAACACAGGGCACGATACGTTTGAATATAATAAAATAAAATAAGTTTTAAGTTAGCCACACTGCGTAAGTTCTTAAATATAAAGAACATTTTTCTAATCCTCCCGGCTAGCGTAACGCATGTGAGTGCTCCAGTCAAGTCTCTCGTTCAGTGCTATACCGAGACAGACAACAAGTGACGGGAACAGCTAGACCATATCTTAGCTCTATTGCAAGGAAACGTATGAATTCTGAGTACAAAGGTTTGACATGGATCAGACCGGTAGGATATACTGACATTTCGTTTTAGAGGTTTTAAGTGTGAAAAGGCTAGCTTGAAGCTAAACCATTCTCAGCCTCCTGGCGCACCATATCCCAGTTCTTACCGTGAAAGACCAATACAGTGTCATCAGCAAACATAAGGAGTTCCACGTGTGGGAGGGTTACATTAAATAGATCGTTCATGTAAATTAGAAACAGAGTAGGCCCCAGGGAACTTCCCTGTGGAAGCCCGAATGTGCAATAGTCACTATCACTCTCATAGTTTTCAACCCGAACGCTCTGTTTTCTATTAGATAGATAACCTTTATACCAAGTGATGGTCGCTTAGTTCGTGTGGCATTTATTTATCTAGCTTTTTTTATCTTTCCGATTTGACGCAAGTGCTTCAATGTTGTTTTGACACTAACTCCTAAGCCCGCAGCAAGCTCAGCTGTAGATTGAGTTGTATCCGCTTCCACTATCACCTTCAATTCATCGTTGTCGAAAATAGTTACCGGCTGATCGCGAGGCTCGTTCTTCAACTCAAAATTTCCAGACATTAACGAGTGAACAGTGGACCGTGTTTATGTAAGCAGTGTTAGGCCCGTACACGTCAATCGGACGAGACTTGTCCCCGCCAGCAAACATTACTGCCATGTTGGCGGATGAGGAGGGCTGGGGCGCAGTGGTCTCTTTCTGTGAAACTGTAATGCTTCAGAAAGAGACCGCTGAACGGGATCGGGAGAGAGCCGATCCCGAGCGAAGAAGACGTCGGCGGTGGAATAAGCAGCCGACGGGACCGCGGGCGCCAGAGAGTGGGGATCTCTGGTGGCAGATTAACTGCTGCGGTAGGGGATAGGATGGCAGCCTGATCGCACTGAAAATGTGATCGGGCTGCAACATCTACATAGGCTGAGAGGCAGGGAGAAACTACTGGCTTTCCCTGAGATGGGGCCTAAGTAGGTGCGGCGTCGATCTGGGGGGACCTGAGCACATGTCCCGGGTTCTCCCCAGAGCAGGGCGCCTAAGGCTGGCTGTCGGAGTGGTTTTTAGTGGAATCACCACATACTCCTGGCTCCTATATAACCGGAATCCGAAGGGATTTTCATCTCCGTCAACAAAAAAAAAGGCCCGTACACATCGTTAATGTTTCTTGTTGTTTGCGCAGCCATATTTCCACGTAGGAACCCATATTTGAAAAACTAACCACAACTACAAATACTATCTAAAACAAATGACTAATTTTGTATTAGAAAGCCATGTTAGCTTTCGAATAAAATTTATTTGAATTTCGAATTGCGCGCCAATCAACAGATTATTTAATCAGAAAATGCTGGTTTTAAAAATCTCCAACTTCATATAAAGTAAAAATTGTATAGCATCCTATTATTAAATAGTTCCAATTCCAATGTTAATTCCAAAAAATGACATTTTAGCAATATGATCAGAAAAATATACGCAGAAGAGTATATGATGCATTAAATGTTTTAATGGCTATGAATATCATATCAAAAGAAAAGAAAGAAATCAGATGGCTTGGTCTACCCACAAATAGTGTACAAGAGTGTACAGCCTTAGAAAAAGAGAAACAATTAAAATTAGAACAGATTCAAAAAAAGACTCAGCAGTTGCAAGAACTGATATTACAGGTTTAGTAATCAGTACCAAAATATATTATTGTCACCGTTAATTAAAAAGTTGTAATTATAACTGTTTTTTCAGCATATTTCATTTAAAAGTTTAATTGAAAGAAATAAGGAAGCAGAAAGTAAAGGCGTAAAACCTTCTCCATCATCAGCAATCCATTTGCCATTTATTGTTGTGAATACTAGTGATAAAGCTTTAATTGACTGCAGTATTTCTAATGATAAGTAAGGTTTACACAATAATTATCTAACTCATTCATGACTAGGTAATATTCAATACCTTAAATTGTATTCTATAATTTTCAGGACAGAATATATGTTCAACTTCAATAAAAGGTTTCAAATACATGATGATATTGATATATTAAAAAGAATGGGCCTCTTGTTTGGTGCGTATTCTATTTAGAAGGCTTATTAAGCCACAGTTATTTTCGTTTATAGATTCATGTATAAACTAACTAAAATTAAAATTCTGTAACACAGGTCTTGATAAAGGAGAATGTTCGGAAGAGGACATTGAAAGAGCGAAAAACATGGTTCCAAAGTCATTAAAATCATATGTAGAACGTAAGTATACGAGGCACGCCTTTTAAGTTTTGTCGTTTGAAGAAAAAAAACACAACTAGAACCTTATAGTACTTTTTATTGTTTTTCAAAGTATTCACCACGTAGCTTAATACACTTTTCCATTCGCTCAAACCAGTTATTATAACATTTATTCCACTCTAAAGTGGGGCTGTTCAAAATGGTTGACTTGAAATCGTCGACTGCTTCTTCACCCGACTGGAACCATTGACCACGAAGACTTTTCTTAATTTTAGGAAATGTAAAGAAATCGTTAGGGCTTAGGTCAGGACTGTATGGAGGATGGGCAAGAATTTCTACTTTGTCCTGCTTCAAATACTCAATCGTTTGACGAGCGCTGTGTGAGCTTGCGTTGTCGTGGTGCAGAATGATGCGTCGCTTTAAGTTAGATTTTCGAAGTTCGGCGATGACTTGTGGTAAACAAACTGTGGTTACCACTCTGCGTTAACCGTTCTACGATCTTCAAGTGCAATAGTCGCAACATGGCTGGTTTTTTCAACGAACGTGGCCACCATCTTCTTTGAAGTGCTTCGAGAACGAACAAATTTAGTCGGCTTTGGCTCATCTTGAAATACCCAGATTTTAGATTGTTGTTTGGAATAAGGATCGTAGGCATAGATCCAAGATTTGTCACCACTGATGATGTCGTAGACGTGATTTGACTCTCGTCGGTTGAACCTTTGCAGAGTTTTCTTACACCATCTGACGCGGGCCGCCTTGTGATCGTCGGAAAGCAGATGCGGTATCCAACGGCAAACTAGCTTTCTCACACCAAGCGCTTCATGCAAGATCTTCTGAATGGTTGTCCCTGAGATGCCTAATAGAGCCTCTATCTCTCGATACGTCACATGACGATCTTCGAGAATTAGTTGTCCTTCGCCAGATTTGTCACTAACACTAGTATGTCCACGCTGGAATTCTAAATACCAGCGTCCGACAGTCCGCAGACATGGGGCTTCATCACTGAACACAAATGTTAGCTCTTCAAAACAGTGTTAGGCCTCTTCTAAAGTTGTAGAAAAATTTTGCACGAACATTTTCCTTAGAAAGATTCATTTTCGTACATAACCTGACAGATTCCAATGGACGATGTGACTAAACAATAGCATTAATCCTAATACTTTCAACTGTTTTGAGATTCAAAATTTAAACAGATTCGAATATAGAACAGTTCTAAATTCAAAATTACCGGGAAATATGAAAACGACAGAACTTAAAAGGCATGCCTAGTACTATGTACTTGATAATTGCCAATATACTGTATTTCCATGATGTGGTAACCTTAAATTGATGCTGCAGCCAAACATTGGTGGTCAATTTCTTTCGGTAGTCGGTATTCAGTCTTGAAATAAAACGTCTGTTACAATGAACGTCTCGAAAATCGGTGTACTTGTTTTTCGCGAGCAGGTTGGTACGGCCTAATTTTACAGCCTAATTCACTGAAGTACATCCCACATAGTAATTGGTAATTCAGTTGTTCGATTATGGCAGTCATGTTAAGCCCAGAATAATGCTCAAGTACTTTGGGCTGTGTAGTTAGGGTACAACTAATGGAGGTAGACCTGAATGATATGGTTTTGCTTTGCTTCGACAATACATATTTTCTAGACGTTTATAATCCATTATTTCATGTTAAATAGCTTATATGCATATGTTGAAAATATAGAGCTGATTATACTGTAAGATATAACTTGGCAAACAACATTTCTAGCCCGAGCGAACCCTATTATAGAATTAGATCTACTGCTGAGTAGCATAACACTTAAGTGGCCGCATTTTTATTGCGTTTAGTCCAGCTTTTTTTTTTTTTTTTTTTTTCACCATTCTAAGTATACCAAAATACCTGAACCGATGGCATAATGTTTAACATTCAAAAGGCCGGTAATGCACTTGTCACTCTTGAGTTGCAGGTGTCAACAAGCGAAGGATAGTCCATTACAATCAGGTGACCCGTCTGCTAGTTTGCCACCTATGCCATAAAAAATCTTACAATTAAACTGAACTGTGTATCTAATTTTAATATTTATTGCGTTTTCTTATAGTAGAGAGCGCCTTGAAGTCAGTTTGTTGGGCTTTTCATTTTTTGCCTTTGTATGTTTTTGCCGTGACAACGTCTTATAACTCGATGGAGCCGGCTGCACGCACGAAAAAACATGACTCATGCGGCGTTACCTCGCTCTAAGGCGTTCCTTTAAGGCGTGAAGTGCAAGCGAGAGCGCGGAACGAGTGACAAAGAGGCACAATCGGCCTCCGCGTTCGGCAGCGTTCGACATCTGTCTCTCTCAAGTCGGAACTTGAGTGAGCGATGCGTCCGCGTGGACAGCTACTACTCGTATACAATAATACATTTTTGAAAAATGCAACCATTCCATCAGTATTTTCTTATGACGTTGTCACGTTCAACTATCGTCAGTAAACCAACTTTACAGACAACCGATTTTTACCCAAGATTTTAATGGGACAGTAAAAAGGAAGTGCCTTTTTGCACGACCATTAAAAAATGTGTAAAATTTTCAAGATCCATGTATATACGAGTTTCCTTAATTCTAACAAACTTTTAAATGTCTGCACAGATTTATATGTATGGAGTAGATTGTTAAAACTTTCCAAGTTTGGCCTAAAATTTTTAGAATACTTGTATGGTATATAGGTAATCGTTTTTTTTTGGCAAGCCAGTTTTTTTTTAATTATTTAAATATTTTTTTTTAAATGGTAACCTTATTACTAATACTAAGGTTAGTCTTATTTGCCATGGCTTTCTAAAACTAAGTCTGGCTTGTTGCACAGAACCTAAAATTGTTAATATTATCATTTTTAGAAATGGGCAGGGGAGTTATAACAAAATTATCCACTATGCTTGAAGAAGAGGACCTTGAAGAAGAAACTGGCGAGGAAGAAGAAGTGTTAGAAGCTGAAGGTGAAGTTGATGATGAACAAGAGGCTGAAGGAAACGATTATAGTGACGACAGCAGTGACGTGGATGTTTAGCGAGCACATCCTGCGCACTGGCGTGCGCACCATTTATAATTATTTTGTTTATACTATCTAGGTGTTACTGTTGCATGTGGGCTAAGTTTATGTAATACGCCACACAAGTTTAAACATTATATTAGCTTAAAACATATTTTGACACAATATAATAATTTAATACTACATTTAAAACAATTCCAATGATTTATTCCATTGAGTTATAATTTTTATACACTTTGTCTTATGACTTTTATTTAAGACATGTATAACTTGCTTAATTTTAATGTATTTCTACAAAAGTGTACTATTAGTTTTGTTGCAAGAAGCCTACTGATCTCAAAACAAACTTATAAACTGCAAATTGTGGTTATTTTTTAAATTAAATAATTGAATGAATTGTGTCAATTTGTAATTCTTAAAGGGGGGTTCCTCAGAACTATTATGCATACTAAACTAGTGTAATAATAAACATGTTGTTTTGATTATTTTTATTTAAACATGGAATTGTTTTAATGATAAGTGAAATAAATGTCAAAAACAATGTAGTTTATTGATTAACAAAATATCTTCCTACATCTTCCTTAGTATTTACTTCAAGTCGTCATCGTCAAATAAGTCTTCAAAATCTGAAAACAGAAACTTTTATTTTATTTCATTTATTTTAAAATTCTGTTTTGTATGATATCTTTTAGAATTCTTCCCTATGTATCTATCTATGAGGTAGAGAAGAGAAGTATGATAAAGTGCCTCAATCAACTAGTATTTATTTATTTATTGATAGGAAACTCAACAGCTTTTTACATTATACATTCATATTTACAATAAATTCAATTCTTAGGCCTATTACAGAGTTTCACGACATTCGCTATATAAAACTAGAAAATAAAGTATCTTATAACACTACACTAATAATAAAAAACAAATCATACAATAAATAAACAATAATCATTAAATCAAATTATATTAAATTAAATCAAATCAAACGGAATCAAATCAAATTAAACTTACATTCAATTAAAATATAAAATAATCAGAATTAAACTGAACCAACTTGATTTGATCAAAATAAATCAAACCAGACTAAACCAAATTACGTCTAACTGACTCAAATAACAATACAATAAAACAATAAGAAATGAATTGAGAAATGAATGAACTCTTAAACTGAACTGAACTGTTAACTGAAAATGAACTATTTTATCTATCCATCTATTTACTAGCGAGTATACTCGCGATTTGTTTCCGATATGACCCCTTGTTCAAATGAAATATATCCATTCCCTCAAAGTTTCCCGTATAAACGCGAGGTAGTCGTGTCATTACAGCATTACTACCATAATTAGTGCGGTGATTAGGTATATTAAATAAGTGGGTGTGTCTAGTACGACGCTTTGGTGTACAGAACCGTATACATGATAGGAGATCACTATAATCAAGTTCACCACGTAGGATATCAAAAAGTAGAAGCATATCCAGCATCTTACGTCTATCATCAAGAGGAAGAAGGTGATAGTGTCTACAGTCTACGGAATAAGAGGCATGACGTTTCCCAGACTTAAAATTTAGGAATTTCACAAACCTCTGTTGCAAACTTTCCAGTCTCGCAATATAAACATTATATTGAGGTGACCAAATTTGACTGCAGTACTCCAAAATGCTACGGACATATGCATAATATACAATCTTTAAACTGTGGCAATTTCTAAAAGGTTCGCAAGTACGCATCACAAAACTAAGATTACGAGAGGCTTTACTAATTATATGATCAGTTGTAGCCGCTTTACTTGTCAGGCGGACTACTCACCGGCTTACCCAGTGGAGAGATTCACGAGATTACCTCAGGGCGCCTTGTAGAAAACAGAAGTGTGAGCGTGTGGGAAACCTACGGGACTCCTTAGAGAAAGACAACTTCCACCTCAGTCATACATACATGTATATTTCCAAAAAAAAATTAAAGTTACAATAATAAAAAATAAATAAATTAGTGGGTATATAAAAAACCGCAGCGGCGCGCGTCAGAGCCGAGCTGATGCTGCTCGGAGCCTCCTCGTCTTCAATCCAGGAGATCACTTCCCCTTCCGCCCGAGTCGGCTATTTATATTAGGTATTAAGGAAGGTTCAATATTGATATTAATGACGTTAACGAGAAGTACGTAACCCTTGAGTACGGCTGTCCGCTTGCTTGGTGAGCCGCGTGACTGCCAGTTTGCTAGAGGGTACTGAGAAACTTGATTTCGCACCAGAAGGCCACAAATGAAAAAGCACGCCGTCAGAGACCGATTGTCTTGACCCGAAATCTGGAGCCCTACGAATGGATAAGCACTCATATTATCGATCAGGTTCCAGAAACAAATAAGTACAAGAAAATTATGAATATACTTACCACTGGCGTGGGTACTTCGAACAGATAAAATATTACTAAGATGAAATCACCAGACAAACAAAATACTATTTAAGATCGAAAGACAAGAATTAGCAGAGTGTCCCCTGTGGCTGAAAGCCGGACTTATATATGTTCGGTTTGTGAAGTTTCTAGAAAGAATCCCTACTTTAGTCATTTTAAACTGTCACTCAAATTATCAACGAGGTTAACACGAACCAAATCAAAAGTAACTCGCTGCCTACCATAACAAGACACTTTTAACACCAATACAATTTGTCAGAATAAATTAATACAATGACTTACCTATAAAACAACGCCATCTAGTGGTCCGATGGCGGACGAAGAACATCAATACTATAGTTACAAACTACTTTGGATAAATCAAAAAAAATGCGACGCGGGCAATAGGTGTCGCTGTTTACAACTCCGTACGCAATACAAATATAATAAAAAAATAACTGTTACACAGTGTGTTCAGAGAATAGCAATTTTGAATCTAATATTACACCGAGATCTCTGACCACATCAACCCTTACAATAAAATTGCTGTCGAACTTGTATATATATTTGATTGGGGTTTTAGAACGGCTAAAGCTAATACATTGACACTTAGAAACGTTGACTGTGATGTTATTCTGTATATAGTAGCAACATAAAGCATTAAGGTCACGCTGTACAAGTTCACAATCAAGTCTAGATCTTACACGCATGTATATTTTCATATCATCTGCGTATAGCAGGTGTTTTGCATACCTGAAATTCGATTCAATGTCATATAAATATGCGCAGTAGAAAAGGGGTCCCTGGAGGGGGGGAGCCCTGGGGAACACCGGAAGGGACATTTACAAAGTCCGATTTAAAACCACCCACAACCACAGCCTGAGACCTATTTAACAAGTATGAACTTAATCCATCTGAGTAAATCAGCATGGATCCCAAGACTTTGCAGCTTTGCGAGAAGGATCACGTGATTCACACGATCGAACGCTTTTTCGAAATCGGTGTAGATCACGTCAACCTGTCCACCAGCTTTCATGTTACATATAACATAGTTGCTGAACGTGGCTAAGTTCGTTGTTGTTGAGCGTCGTTTAATGAAACCATGCTGACTCGAGCCCAAACCGCCAGTCACTACGGGGTAGGTATTGCTTAAAATTAACTTTACATTTCAACAGTCACTTCTCACAAGTCTTGTCGCATGTTTAACTTGGTTATAAAATTTATTTAGGTTCCGTCGTGGTCAGTCAAATTCGCAATAGGTCAAGTAACTAAAAAACTGTGAAAATAGCGAAACTGTATCGCGAATGGCCAAATTTACATCGCAAACACTGGAATATTTTATCTCACGTATATTATATCGTACGTCTGATAAAGTCAATTCTTAGGACACCTCTGCTCCACGTCGAGGCTGGATGTGAAAGCTTCCAACTGGAACTTCGGAACTGGTTCGCCATGTTGCAAACCGTGCAGGACGTAAACGACGACGTCGACAGCCTGGTATGTCGCCCGCGAGGTGGAATATAATCACTTCCAACCGAAGAGCATTGAACGCACGCAGATTGATGAGAAAAAGAGGAGAAGCAGTAAAATCTATACCGTCTGACAGGCAGGAACGTTAAGTTAAGGCAGATTAAGAGGCGAATAAGACGAGATATTTGACAGTCGTATACTCAAGCGATTGAGGAGGAGATTTCTCGGAACAAGCCTAAGGCCTCCTGTTGTCACCTGTCCAAACTCAGAACATCACAAGGCACCACCGTCACCTCTAAAACCGATTCCGCTGAAGTCAAAAATTTCTATGAGGACTATACATCTCGCAAACCCGAAAGGCACAGCTTAGATGACTCGCGTCCTAGACTGACACGCCACCTCACAGACGAGCTTCCTGACTTCGATTTGGGCGAGATTAGAATGGCGCTAGAACAACTTAATAATAACAAAGCTACGGGGGAAGCGGCGAAATTACAACAGAGCTCCTAAAAGTCGGGGAACTCCTATGTTATTAGAGATAAATGCGATTTTAAATTGCGTCATACATACTGGCACTACGTCAGCAGTCGAGCAGGAACGTCGTAGTACTGTTCTGGTCTAAAAAAGAGACAAAAGCTCACTGAAGAACTACCGCCCCATATCATTCCTGAGCCATGTGTATAAGTTGTTCTCGAGGGTCATTACGAATCGTCTTGCCCAGAAATTCGTAGACTTCCAGCCTGTGGAGCAGGCTGGGTTTCGAAAAGGCTTCAGCACCACGGACCATACACACATTAAGACCAATAATCATCTCGCCGCTTCCCACTACGCTTAGTGTTGTGGGTTCGATCCCCACATGGGACAACACTTTGTGTGTTCCACAAATTGTTGTTCTGAGTCTGGGTGTTCTTTGTGTAAGTTTCATGAATGTTTGTAAAATTCCCCGCACTTATTCCTAGTGCGGGAGTTGTCTTTATGAAAAAAAAAGCTTCTGCCAAGCGTATGTAGACTATGAGAAGGCCTTCGATACCGTCGAGATCTAGGCTGTCCTCCAATCTATGCAGAGATGCCTGGTCGACTGCTATGCTGAGATGTCTGTATGAAGCCGCAACGATGACCGTACAAGAACAGAGCACAAGACCGATTCAATTGCGACGCGGGGTTT